TGCCGCATTTAAAACAAATAAGTGGTGATTTAATTTCGAACGGAAGAGTTTACTTACCTTGAAGGCAGCGGATTGCGATCCGCTGCACTCGTACTGGTTCATATTAAGAACGTAAGGTCGGTGACCTTAGCATAGCTTCCTCTTAGAAAAGAGCTACGGCAGCCCTGCTGCACATAAGGCACCACTCAATTGCGAAAATTTAAAATAAGAAATTTTGAAGGTCGACTATATCGGAATGAAGCGGCAACTTACAGATATACTGACTAAGGAGCTCGAAACAAAATGTTTGCATTTGTGCGTGAAACAGCAGGTTTCAAGACCAAGAGAATACATAGGATTAACCAGCAATCACGGCAGGTGGGGTTGAGATGACGACGCTCAATACTGTTGAAGAATGATGTTGCTGGTACATGCATGCTCAGAAAGCGAACTTAGTTTAGCCGAGTGGTTACGGTACGTTAGCTCCGCTTTCATGATTGAGGGACTCATGAACGAACACCTGATTATAGAAACATCCTCAAGAAAACATGAGTATCATAAAAATATTGCGTAAAATGAATGAATCAAAAAAAATCTATTGGCACATTAATTAGAGAACACAAGGTATCCTAAAACACTTAACAGATAGTCGATGGGCACGCACGCAGTACCTGCGATTAAACAGCAAAGCATAATCTACGAGGTATGCTGTCACATCACTATGATAAAATTGAAAGTTTGTGCATTAAGCCTCAAGCTTTTGTTGCACATTCAAAACAATGTTGTGAGCAATGTGATCACAACATGTAACAACGAGAATGTAAGGCTCCAGCGCACATGGACACTTAGCTTGCTAACAAACCGAGTAAAATATCTATACTTCAACCAGCCTGCCTCGTTTTGATCACACTAAAAAGTCTCAGAATCATATCATAAGGTATTTTGAAGCGGAGAGGCGCAACCGCTTTGTCAAAGCGTTTGTTTACCTTTTGACACGATTCGATCCAAGTTCTCATCAGAAGGGGTATTTTTCACAAGCCTTTCGGACCAGCATCAATGTCGTTGATGATTTTTACACCACTTTTACGATTGTCGTCCAAATGATCAGATTGATTTTTTCTTTTGCGTTTCTTCCCTAGGTTTGGGGGGTCGGAAAGGCTCAGAGTCAAGTCCAGCTTTTCAGAAGCTGGTATGACATGACTGTGGGTATCAAAATGAGCAGGTTGGGCGGCATGGGCGGCTATGAGATCTTGGGTAGCGATAGTGGGTTTCTCGGATAGGATGGCTCCGAAATTTGAGTTGAGCTGAGGTCTTTCTTCGTCCTGAGCAGCCATGAGCTTTTGAAATGAGAGAATGACTTTCCTGATTTGAGCGTCTTGTTTGGCTTGAGCAGTTGTGAAAACTATCACGGCTCGTTCAATCTCACGTTCGTACGAATTGTACGATTCTGAGGCTAGACTTGCATAGTTCTTGTATATCTCAGCCATTTCACGTTCCGACTGTTGTTTTTCATCAGCGTCGTTTAATAATAGTTGGCAAAATTGCGGAATTTTCCTTCATCGTATTCGGCTGCTCTGTATTCTTGGGTAGCTTTTACGACGGCATTTTGTAGAGAAGCTTGACGGTCTCGAATTTCTTTAGAATTATCCACGTGGACGAGTAGGTGGATTAGGTAGAGTCTGGCGCGGAGAAGGAATGGTTTGATGCTAACGGCATTGACGTCTTCAGCGGCTTTATTCATACTGGATTTGTAATTATAAAAATTCGTCAAATATCTGACAGCATTATTGGCAGCGTCATCAGCGCGTCCGGAATGACGCAGGCTGAGTGCATTGATTTTGTTTATCCAATATAAAGCTTCAGCTTCTTTGCGTACCAGAGCGTTGAGGTCCCTACTTGCTTTGTCATGATTTTTGGTGACTTGATCGAGTTGTGCAACAGCGTCTTCATAATTCTTCTGGAGAATTTGGATCCTTTCTCTGCTTGAGGTGGCGGAAGTGCCGACGTGTTCTCCAACCGTAACCATCTTGCTTAAGTCATCCACAGGTTTCAACTCGGCTTTCTCTAAATGCAAAAGTAGCTCAGGGACACTTTTTTCTGCTTTCTTGAGTACTTCAGCTAGACTGACGCGTTCTTCTTCAGCCACTTGGGTTTCCAAATGATCTCCACTTCCATTAAGAAATCTTCTGGGCAACGTGTTTGTGTCAGAACCACCGGCTGGCAACTTGTCATGGTATTGCGTTATTACAGACTTGATCTGGACAGATTTAGCAGCTGTGCGGGCGCTACTTGCGATTAAGAAAGCAGTGGCCACGTAAAATGCACCTCGCATGAGTTGTCAAGTGTTTTTTAAATCTTGACTGTAATTTATGTGATTGTCAACCACCCCTTGGTTGATTTGTTTATATTATTGCTTTCATATCCATTAAACAGTTGGTAGATCGTAGCAATCAAACACATTGTTGATTGGTTAATATCATTGTTTAGATACTCATCAGAACACATGTTTAACTGGTTAATATCATAGCTTTGAGAAACAATGATAAGTAGACACAAAATCATTAAATTTTAGGGAGAATAAAAAAAATGCCCCAAACATTTGCCATATATAAAAAAATATCCCAA